AGAGAGCACTGGTTATCCCCCCCCCCCACAACAATTCCTGCCGGACCTGAGACTCGAACCCGCGACCTTCGGGTTACAAGTCCGACTCTCTATTCATGAGGCCACAACTGCCCCAAACTTTTTGTTTAAGTTTTGTAAATGCATTAATACTGTATGTTGGAAACAAGCTTTCATTTCTCTGCTCTTAAAGGGGGTCATGAACTGACTTCTCTGAGGTCCACTTATAATGTAATCAAGATTTTTACATCAAAAACCATCATAATTTATAAGTAATAAGCTGTTTTCTGTAGTGTTTTTAATACCCTTCATCAGAAAGCTCCATTTGAATAGGCGTGGCGGATTGTAGACTTGTAAGTAAACGCCCACTGCTATGATTGGCCAATAGTTGTGTATGTTTGACAGTAGGTATGCACGATATTATCGGAACGTTTTCGGCATCGGCCGATTAAAAAAAAAAAAGAAAAAAGCCGATAAGGCGGATAGCTCACATAGGGTTGCCACGCATGCCTTAAAATACGTAATCGTCCCGTATTTAAAGGTAAAATGATGCGTTTCGTATCAAATCAATACGGGATGCGATTTGTCCCGTATTTTACAAATGCCAACACATAGTTGAATCAACAAATAAGTATGTTGCACTGTTTATAATACTAAAAGCAATTATAATTAAATAAATTTCATACGAGGTATTAGAGAAGCCTTCTCTAATACCTCGTTGCATTTTGGCATGTTTGTTTTTTTATAGCGATGGAGTCTTTTTAGCGCACCGTTAAAGCCCTTTCACACGAGCGCAGCATGCGCTAAACCTGCGCGGTTTAAAACATCTAGAGCTGACACCCTGATAGCAAAATGACTCCGGAGCGGATCCGCCCCGGAGTCACCACAAGCTCCGGAACGGATCCGCAAAACGGGTCCGTATCGGAGTCCACTTGCACAGCGCAATGGATCCGGAACAGATAAGGATTACGGATCCGATCCGGACCCGTTCATGAAGTAGCTCATCCACCCTTTGAACACAAGGCTCTCCAGATGTAGGGCTGAATGGGAATGTTATCAATGGGTCTGTCCAATAACTAATGATGAACGCGCAGTTTGCAGAGAAGCATTTCAGTTGCTCACAGACGGTGGACTGACTTAAAGTAATAGTTCACCCAAAAACGAAAAACAAAAATGAAAAAACATCATTTACAAACCCACAAGTTGTTCCAAAACTTAATAATTTCTTTCTTCTGTTGAACATAAAGGAAGATACTTTGAATAATATGGTAACCAAGGAGTTTCTGGTTCCCCAATGACTTTAGTTATTTAGTTACTGAGGACCAACAGCTGTTTAGTTACCCACATTCTTCAAAGTATCTTCGTGTTCAACAGAAGAAAGAACTTTATGCAGGTTTAGAACAACCTGGGTAAATTATGACAGAATTTTCATTTTTGGGTGAACCATACCTTTAAAGTGACATACACATCTGTGCTTCAAGGCATAGGCCTATTGTTCTATTAAAATTTGGATAGTCTGTTAATAGCCTATAATATTCCATACATTATCAGAGCTTAATTATATTTTTAGACATTATTAGACCGACGAATTAATAGATTATAATTAATGTTAGACCCTATTTATTAATTTATATTAATCATAAATATATATATACTATATAATCAAAAATGTGTGTGTGTGGGGGGGGGGTGTCGCTGAAGGTGGCAACCCTAAGCTCACATGTGCTCAGGATGTGATAGTGATAAGATTACACCCACACACGTCAGCAGTGTGGTCATTCTTGAAGCGAACTTTTGCCTGAATTATGACTGTTCTGGATCGCTGCATTTAATCTGAGAATGTACGTACAGAACGACGCATCTGGTGCGCGAGAGAGTCAACGGTTTTTCTAGCACGTGCAGTAACAGCAGCGGTAGCTTCCCCCGGGTCCTAATGCCTGTCCGGTAAGGCGTTTTATTTACTTAGGGGACGCTGTTGGCCTACTTATAATAATAAAATGAAAGTAAAATACACAAATATAATTAAAATACTTGAGTTTCTGAATCAATAAAGCAATATCGATGTCATAAAATCACGAGTCTGTTTTGATTTAAAGGTCAGGACTCAGAAGCTATAGTTACATGAATAAAAATCACAAACATGACACTTGTAAATTAAATAATTTAATATATACAGATTTATTCATTAATATGTACTATATTTTTTCAAATGGATTATGAAAACTTAAATACAATGTGCTGTAAAAGATTTTTATAACTTTTACTGCTCTTTTGTTTTAGACCAGGGATAGGCAACGTCGGTCCTGGAGTGCCAATGTCCTGCAGAGTTTAGTTCCAACCCTGAAAAAAAACCTCACCTGCCTGTAGACTAAAGACACCTGTTTTGGTTCTGATTATCATGTTTATCGCGCTGAAATCATGCGTTTTAAACCATATTAGTTTAATTTTCTGATATTTACGGAGTGCACACATCCAAATCACACGGACAGAAAGCGGCTGTCACAGAATGTGAGTACTAAACTAAGTTCTCATTCACACACAAGTTTACGTTAAAAACACACTCTAAACAGTGTTCTGTGCTCGTCTGTGCAGCCAAAGACAGAACAGTTAGCATGTTTTGCTCAAACTTTCACCATGGCACTAGAACTAATACACCGTTGTCGCTTGCGAAAACACAATAATGGCGCTGTGGGTGTAAACTTACAGATTAAGGTGCAGTAATATTATAATGAGATCCCTTTGCCACGTCACCAAGGGAGCGAAATCAGACGCTCTCGTTTTCTCAGACGCTTGCAGAAAAAGGCTTACCAAAACAAAGTTACTGGGTTAATCTTTTTCACGTTTCCTTGGTTGGTAGATGCAATGGGGACCTGATTATAGCACTTAAAACTTGGAAAAGTCAGATTTTCATGATGTCACCTTTAAGCCCATATTTATAATACATTATAAGGGTATTCTTAAGGCATTATAATGAATGCATAATGCATTATAAAAAAAAATAATTATAATATGTTATATCACCTTATAAATAATCATAACAGCAATTATAATACATTATAAGGGTATTCTTAAGGCATTATAATGAATGCATAATGCATTATAAAAAAAAATAATTATAATATGTTATATCACCTTATAAATAATCATAACAGCAATTATAATACATTATAAGGGTATTCTTAAGGCATTATAATGAATGCATAATGCATTATAAAAAAAAATAATTATAATATGTTATATCACCTTATAAATAATCATAACAGCAATTATAATACATTATAAGGGTATTCTTAAGGCATTATAATGAATGCATAATGCATTATAAAAAAAAATAATTATAATATGTTATATCACCTTATAAATAATCATAACAGCAATTATAATACATTATAATGCTTACGCATTTGTGGTTATAACTTTTAAGATTATGATTATTTATAACACACAATGAACACCATATTAAATCTACTTTTACATTTATAATGGACTATATATCTTGACATTGTTTATTTAAGATCTTCAACAGTAGCCTATC